AGAATACACAGAAGAATTGTACAAAAAAGATCTTCACGACCCAGATAATCACAATGGTGTGATCACTGACCTAGAGCCAGACATCCTGGAATGTGAAGTCAAGTGGGCCTTACAAAGCATCACTGTGAACAAAGCTAGTGGATGTGATGGAATTCCAGTTGAGCTATTTCAAATTCTAAAGGATGATGTTGTGAAAGTGCTGCACTCAATATGCCAGCAATTTTGGAAAACTCAGCAGTGGCTAAAGGACTGGAAAAGCTCCATTTTCATTCCAATCCCTAAGAAAGGCAATCCCAAAGAATGCTCAAACTACTGCACAATTGTACTCATCTCACACGCTACTAAAGTAATGCTCAAAATTCTCCAAGCCAGGCTTCAGCAATACATGAACCGGGAACTTCCAGATGTTCAAGCTGATTCTAGAAAAGGCAGAGGAACCAGAGATCAAACTGCCAATATCCTCTGGATCATCAAAAAAGCAAGAGAGTTCCAGAAAAACATCTATGTCTGCTTTATTGACTACGCCAAAGCCTTCTGCTGTGTGGATCACAATAAACTGTGGAAAAGTCTGAAGGAGAGGGGAATACCAGACCACCTGACCTGCCTCTTGAGAAACCTGTATGCAGGTCAGAAAGCAACAGTTAGAACTGGACATGGAACAACAGACTGGTTCCAAATAGCAAAAGGAGTACGTCAAGGCTGTCACCCTGCTTATTTAACTTATATGCAGAGTACATCATGAGAAACGCTGGTCTGGAAAAAGCACAAGCTGGAATCAAGATTGCTGGGAGAAATATCAATAACCTCAGATATGCAGATGACACCACCCTTATGGCAGAAAGTGAAGAGGAACTAAAAAGCCTCTTGATGAAAGTGAAAAATGAGAGCGAAAAATTTGGCTTAAAGCTCAACATTCAGAAAACTAAGATCATGGCATCTGGTCCCATCACCTCATGGGAAATAGATGGGGAGACAGTGGAAACAGTGTCAGACTTTATTTTTTTGGGCTCCAAAATCACTGCAGATGGTGACTGCAGCCATGAAATTAAAAGACGCTTACTCCTTGGAAGGAAAGTTATGACCAACCTAGATAGCATATTAAAAAACAGAGACATTACTTTGCCAACAAAAGTCCGTCTGGTCAAGGCTATGGTTTTTCCAGTGGTCATGTATGGATGTGAGAGTTGGACTGTGAAGAAAGCTGAGTGCCGAAGAATTGATGCTTTTGAACTGTGGTGTTGGAGAAGACTCTTGAGAGTCCCTTGGACTGCAAGGAGATCCAACCAGTCCATTCTAAAGGAGATCAATCCTGGGTGTTCCTTGGAAGGACCGATGCTGAAGCTGAAACTCCAGTACTTTGGCCACCTCATGCGAAGAGTTGTCTCATTGGAAAAGACCCTGATAATGGGAGGGATTGGGGACAGGAGGAGAAGGGGACGACAGAGGATGAGATGGCTGGATGGCATCACCGACTTGATGGGCATGAGTTTGAGTCAACTCCTGGAGTTTGTGATGGACAGGGAGGCCTGGCATGTTGCGATTCATGGTGTCACAGAGTCAGACACGACTGAGTGACAGAACTGAACCACCTAGGAAATGGAAACCCTCAGAAAGTCAGTGATGTCTTCATGTCTGTACAGACAATGAATTCCAGAGCTGAATGGTGAATAGAACTGCTCTGATTCCTAATTCTAGATACTTTCCAGGTTTAAGGAAGACTATCAAATTGAAAACTCCTGAACACAAAAAATCCTGACAAAATGTGGTCCACTGGAAAAGGGAATGGAAAACCACTTCAGTATGCTTACCTTGAGAACCCCATGAACAGTATGAAAAGGCAAAAACATAGGACACTGAAAGATGAACTCCCAAGGTCGGTAGGTGCCCAATATGCTACTGGAGATCATTGGAGAAATAACTCCAGAAAGAATGAAGAGATGGAGCCAAAACAAAACAAGCAAACAAACAAACAAACAAACAAACAAACAAAAAACACCCAGTTGTGGATGTGACTGGCGATAGAAGCTGTAAAGAACAATATCACATAGAAACCTGGAATGTTAGGTCCATGAATCAAGGCAAATTGAAAGTGGTCAAACAGGACATGGCAAGAATGAACATTGACATTTTAGGAATCAGTGAACTAAAATGGACTAGAATGGGTGAATTTAACTCAGATGACCATTGTATCTACTACTGTGGGCAAGAATCTCTTAGAAGAAATGGAGTAAGCATCATAGTCAACAAAAGATTCCAAAATGCAGTATTTGGATGTAATCTCAAAAACAACAGAATGATCTCAGTTTGTTTCCAAGGCAAGCCATTCAATATCACAGTAATCCAAGTCTCTGCCGTGACCAGTAATACTGAAGAAGCTGAAGTTGAACAGTTTTATGAAGACCTACAAAAGTTTCTAGAACTAAAACCCAAAAAAGATGTCCTTTTCATTATAGGGGACTGGAGTGCAAAAGTAGGAAGTCAAGAAACACCTGGAGTAACAGGCAATGAAGCAGGGCAAAGGCTAATAGAGTTTTGCCAAGAGAACACACTGGTCATAGCAAACACCCTCTTCCAACAACACAAGAGAAGACTCTACACATGGCCATCACAGATGGCCAACACTGAAATCAGATTGATTATATTCTTTGCAGCCAAAGATGGAGAGTTCTATACAGTCAGCAAAAATAAGACTGGGAGCTGACTGTGGCCCAGATCATGAACTCCTTCTTGCCATATTCATACTTAAGTTGAAGAAAGTAGGAAAAACCTCTAGACCTTTCAGATATGATCTAAATCAAATCCCTTATGATTATACAGTGGAAGTGAGAAGTAAATTCAAGGGATTAGATTTGATAGACAGAGTGCCTAACAAACTATGGATGGAAGTTTGTGACACTGTACAGAAGACAGGGATCAAGACCATCCCCAAGAAAAAGAAATGCAAAAAAGCAAAATGGCTGTCTGAGGAGGCCTTACAAATAGCTGTGAAATGAAGAGAAGTCAAATGCAAAGGATAATAGGAAAGATATACCCATTTGAATGCAGAGTTCCAAAGTATAGCAAGGAGAGATAAGAAAGCCTTCCTCAGTGATCAGTGCAAAGAAATAGAGGAAAACAATAGAATGGGGAAGACTAGAGATCACCTCAAGAAAATTAGAGATACCAAGGGAACATTTCATGCAAAGATGGGCTCAATAAAGGACAGAAATGGTGTGGACCTAACAGAAGCAGAAGATATTAAGAAGAGGTGGCAAGAATACACAGAATAACTATACAAAAAAGATCCTCATGACACAGATAATCACAATGGTATGATCACTCACCTAGAGCCAGACATCCTGGAATTTGAAGTCAAGTGGGCCTTAGGAAATATCATGACGAACAAAGTAGTGGAGGTGTTGGAATTCCAGTGGAGCTATTTCAAATCCTAAAAGATGATGCTGTGAAAGTGCTACACTCAATACGCCAGCAAATTTGGAAAATTCAGCAGTGGCCACAGGACTGGAAAAGGTCAGTTTTCATTTCAGTCCCAAAGAAAGGCAATGCCAAAGAACGATCAAACTACCACATAATTGTACTCATCTCACATGCTACTAAAGTAATGCTCAAAATTCTCCAAGCCAGGCTTCAACAGTACATGAACCGTGAACTTCCAGATGTTCAAGCTGGATTTAGAAAAGGCAGAGGAACCAGAGATCAAATTGCCAACGTCCATTGAATCATCGAGAAAGCAAGTGAGTTCCAGAAAAACATCTATCTCTGCTTTATTGACTATGACAAAGCCTTTGACTGTGGAAAATTATTCAAGAAATGGGAATACCAGACCACCTGACCTGCCTCTTGAGAAATCTGTGTGCAAGTCAGGAGGCAACAGTTAGAACTAGACATGGAAAAACAGACTGGTTCCAAATCAGGAAAGGAGTATGTCAAGGCTGTATATTGTCACCCTGCTTATTTAACTTATATGCAGAGTACATCATGAGAAACGCTGGGCTGGATGAGGCATAAGCTGGATTCAAGATTTCTGGGAGAAATATCAATAGCTTCAGATACAGATGACACCACCCTTATGGCAGAAAGTGAAGAAGAACTCAAGAGCCTCTTAAATGAAAGTGAAAGAGGAGAGTGAAAAAGTTGGCTTTAAACTCAGCATTCAGAAAACTAAGATCATGGCATCTGGTCCCATCACTTTATGGCAAATAGATGGGGAAACAGTATAAACAGTGACAGACTTTATTTTGGGGGCCTCCAAAATCACTGCAGTTTGTGACTGCTGCCATGAAATTAAAAGATGCTTGCTCCTGGGAAAAAAAGTTACGACCAAACTAGACAGCATATTAAAAAGCAGAGACATTACTTTGTCAACAAAGGTCCATCTAGTCAAGGCTATGGTTTTTCCAGTAGTCATGTATTCATGTGAGAGATGGACTATAAAGAAAGCTGAGTGCCGAAGAATTGATGTTTTTGAACTGTGGTGCTGGAGAGGACTCTTCAGAGTCCCTTGGACTGCAAGGAGATCAAACAAGTCAATCCTAAAGAAAGTCAGTCCTGAATATTCATTGGAAATTGATGCTGAAACCGAAGCTGAAGCTCCAATACTTTGGCCACTGATGCGGAGAACTGACTCAGTGGAAAAGACCCTGATGCTGGGAAAGATTGAAGGCGGGAGGAGAAGGGGACGACAGAGGATGAGATGGTTGAATGGCATCACCAACTTGATGGACGTGAGTTTGAGCAAGCTTCAGGAGTTGGTGATGGACAGGGGGGCCTTGTGGTGCAGTCCATGGGGTCACAAAGAGTCGGACACAACTTAGCGACTGAACTGAACTGAACACAAACAAATTTTTATGGTCATGTACATACATGTGATGTGACTTGCTTTTTAGTTGCTTCCTCATGTCCGACTCTTTGTAACCCTAGGGATTGTAGCATGCCAGGCCTCCCTATCCCTCACTATCTCTTGACGTTTGCCCAAGTTCATGTCTGCTGAATCTGTGATGCTAGCCACCCATCTCATCCTCTGCTGCCCATTCTTTTGCCTTTAATCTGAGCACTGCTTTTCCCTTTGGGAATTCGCTTAGAACATGGTCTCTCCTGGACCCCCGCCCATTCTGGAGATGATGTTTCTGGAAAGTTCTGACAAAACTGCACTGGGTGTTCCGTGGCCTCATGATCGTGCCTGTCAGAGTAGTGTGGTTGTCCAGGCAGAGACTGTAGGTCAGTGGCTTCTGGCAGGTGATGGTTACGTAAGCATCCTGCCAGGCACCGGAGCGGAAATGCTGGCCCCAGTGCTTCTGAGAGAACGGAACACGCCGGGGGCGGCGTGCGGCTGGGGTGCACATGTGCACATGCTCGCTGGCCTGGCGGGAATCTTTTCCAGTGAAGTGATTTTTCACTTTGTCCGAGGAGGCAGAAGAAAAGGCTCGATCATCTGCCAGACACGGGAGGGGGTGGGGGGCCCGAAAACGCAAAGTGTTTCAGCTTTGTCTGGGCTTCCAGGGGCTTGGGGTTTATGTATTTTTAGAGTTATTTATTCTTGACTCTCATTTCAACTGGCGAGCTCTCCATTCACTTTTCTCAGTGGAGCAAGAACAGAGTGATTGGCCCTCTGGGTGTTCGGCAAGGAAAGGTCATCCTTCCACTCGGCAAACACATTCATTCGGGCGGAGAAAGCCCAGTCTGTGACCTGAAAAAGCTTCTGGTGCAGTGCCCCCCGGCCAGGCCAGGCCAAATGCTGTCCTTGGAGGACTGATGATGCGAGGGGAGGACATAGACTGGGGTCGGAAACCAAAATGAGAGACCAGAGAAGGGAAGGGAGTGAATAAACACAGCAGCAGGGAGAAAATTGGGGCAGAAAGGGTGTAGAAAAGATGGGGAGATTAGACTGGGGAGAGATTGCGTCTTTTCCCTTGAGAAATATTTCTGTCAGGACAGCATCCAGGCCAGATGAAAGCAGCTTTCAGATCCACTGGGTCAGGTTAACATCAGACACATTTGTTTAGTCATCAACCCACCAGTGAACAAAATAACTGTTGGTAAAATCACAGACTTTTGAGTCAAACAGAGATGGATTTAAGTTGCAGTCAACAATTTAGTAACTTCTTTAAGGTCTTGGTTTTCATTGTAAAAAAGATAAATAGCAGCTACTTCCAGCCATATTGTATTTAATGTGATAATGTGTGAGTGCTTAGTAAATATTCAACATGTAGTCACTTCTCAAGTTTTAGCTGTTACTATTTAATGAGTGTCACAATGGGCCTGGTACCAGCAGGATTTTAGAGACACAAAGGATAGAAACTTCCCTCAAGGAACTTATAGTCTGCTTGAGCATATAAAATTAACATCCCTGAAGTAATACTGAACAGCCCTGGGTACAGTAAAATGTGTGGGATACATTGAAGTTCTACATGGCTTTAAAAACTGGACAGCATGCAAACCAAGGTATTATGGTTAATCATCAGTTAGGGGATATATAAAAGTAGATGCTAGAGATAGACTTGGAAAGTGAATGTCTTCTAGACCAGTGCTTCTCTAGCTATAATATGCTTCAAATCACCAAAGATTTCCTAATAATGCAGATCAAAGTTCAGTCTTGGGGTGGAGCCTTGGATTTTGCATTTCCAAGAAGCGTCTAGGTGATATCCCGTTACTGGCCCTCAGACCACTCATGGAGGAGCAAGGACTTAGGTGCTGGGTTCCAAGCAGCTCACATACCTACTTGTGAACAGGTGCTTATTTTACATCTATTAATTACTAAACACAAAAGAGGATGAAACTAAGAAGGAAAGAGAGCCAAGAGAAATAGACCCCTTAGGTCTCCACTTGCAAGTTTATTTTTTCCCTTCTAAATTGTCAGTGATTTATACGACTGCCACATCTATACTACCTCCATAAACAATGATATCTACCTGAAATAATGAGGGAAAAATTATTCATTGAGCAAGTAGGTAATGATCCAGGACCAAACCTTGAATAGGTACTACACAGAAATGGATAAGTGAGTAATCACCATGGGAGCAGGACTAGTCAGGAGGGGTTTCCTAGGTAAGTGACATTTAAGACAAGGCTGAAAAAAATGGCAATTGGGAATAGAGGAGGTAGATGGAGGCAAAACTCAGGAACAGTATCTCCCAACTCTGTATTATTCCTGTCTTACTCTTTAATATCACACAGTTACTTAAGTGCTGCTTTCCGATTACTTTTTGAACAACTCATTCTAGCATTTTTGTGGCTGTCCCCCACACACAGTAGGTTACTCTCTCATCATATATAGAGGTCAAAATGATTTTCTACTTGACCTTTCTGTTTTTTTATCAGACTTCTTTTAAGCTATATTTGCTTTTCCAGAAAGAAAGTAGTCTACCGAAGTCAGTCCCCTAGGTTGTGGTGTTGTTTCCAGCTTGTTGTTATTCAGCTGCTCAATCATGTCCAACCCTTTGTGACACCATGGACTCCAGCATGCCAGGCTTCTCTGTCCTTCACCATCTTCCGGAGCTTGCTTAAACTCATGTCCATTTAGTCAGTGATACCATCCAACCATCTTGTTCTCTATAGTCCCCTTCTCTTCCTACCTTCAGTCTTTCCCAGCATCAGGGTCTTTTCTGATGAGTTGGCTCTTCACATCAGGTGGTCAACATATTGGAGTTTCAGCTTCAGCATCAGTCCTGCCAGTGAATATTCAGGATTGATTTCCTTTAGGATTAGCTGGTTGGATCTCCTTGCAGTCCAAGGGACTCTCAAGAGGCATCTCCAACACCACAGCTCAAAAGCATCAATTCTTCTGTGTTCAGTCTTCTTTATGGTCCACCCCTCACATCCATACATGACTATTGGGAAAACCATAGCTTCGGCTATCTGGACCTTTGTTGGCAAAGTAATGTCTCTGCTTTTTAATATACTGTCTAGTTTTGTCATAGCCTTTCTTCCAAGGAGCAAGCTTCTTTTAATTTCATGACTACAGTCACCATCTACAGTGATTTTACAGCCCAAGAAAATAAAGTCTGTCATTGTTTCTATTGTTTTCCCATCTATTTGCCATAAGTGATGGAGCCAGATGCCATGATCTTTGTTTTCTGAATGTTGAGTTTTAAGCCAACTTTTTCACTCTCCTCTTTCACTTTCATCAAGAGGCTCTTTAGTTCCTCTTCTCTTTCTGTCATAAGGATGGTGTCATCTGTGTATCTGATATTTCTCCTGGCGATCTTGATTCCAGATTGTACTTCATCCAGCCCAGCATTTCACATGATGTACTCTGCATATAAGTTAAATAAGCTGGGTGACAATATACAACCTTGACATACTTCTTTGACAATTTGGAACCAGTTCATTGTTCCATGTCTGGTTCTAACTGTTGCTTCTTGACCTGCATTCAGTTTTCTCAGGAGGTAGTTCAGGTGGTCTGGTATTCCCATCTCTTGAAGAATTTCCCCCAGGTTGTAAACTATGAAAATATTTTTGATGTGAGAAGTGTGGCAGAAAAGCCAAAATCACCGACATGTCCACATGGGTTATGTACTTCTAGATAGCAATATATGCTCATTCTGATATATTTATGATAATACGAGATACATAGGATGCACATCTTTCGTGAGGAAATTAAACCTTTGGTATCCTGTCCAGCCGAGACAGATCATAGAACATAGGCTTTGAATTGTTCCTTCTCTCTTGGTATTTTTCCAATGTCTGACAAAGATAGTTATACCCACTTATTTCCAGGAAGTAAATTGAGGGAGAAATTAAAGAGAGGGAAAAGTAGTTGGTTTATTGCATTTGTGGATCTATTCTCTAAACCCACATGCAGAGACAAGAAGGGATTTTGTCTCTGGGACCAAAACAAACATAGTGTTTAGAGAGGGAGGCCTGACTTGCCCACAAAACTTGGTCACTCACAGAACACAGGGCTTCTGAAATGAACTGATATCAGAAACTTTGCAGGACTCCTTAGACTGTAAAATCTCACCTATCATGCTTACTTGTTACAGAAATTTACAGAATATGGAACAGTATCTTTGCTTTTGTAACTAGATGACAATAATCACCTCCATTTGGGAATATTCTTCTTTGATGACACATCAACATCCAAACCTGACAACAAGCACTGTAAGAGTTCGTCTTTATAGAAATTAGCTCTCACTCAGTAGTTGCTTTTATGTTTTATAGTAGCTTTTCTGTTTTATCATCACTTTGCCTCTTGTATTCTGATTATTTCCGCTTTAACAATCAGTGCTTCAAAGGTCATATGGAGAAATCAAAGCACTTGCCTTTTCAAATGCTAGTGGCTTGGGTTTTGTTTTCTTTTGTCTTTTTTTTTTTATACTAATTGCCACAGCCACTGGAGATTGATTTTCCTAGAAAGGAGTATTCTGTGATTATCAAACTGCACTGGAGTCTGACATGCTGCTGACTGGTCCCCTCTTAGACAATGTCCGAAGCTAGCTTCTCCTCTGAGGAAGCTTTTTAACAGCTACTTCTATTGAAATGCAAGAATCCTTAATCATAGATTCTTTTCCAAATAACTGTTGAGGTTTGACAGGTTTTCCCTCCACAGATAATGGATGGGATAGAAAAAAGACATAAACCAGGAAGGTGGTAGATTTCATCATCTCAAGTATCATTAGTTTTGCTGATGAAGACTAAATAAAAAAGACTGTGGCAACCCAGGGCAAATGAAAAGATAATCACTACTCCTTGCCCCAAAACATGAGACAGCTCTTTTTTTTTTTTATATTTCTTTTTTTTTTTAATTGTAGGAGTATAATTGCTTTCCAATGGTAGTTTCTGCTGTATGACAAAAATGAATCAGCTATATGTATACCTGTATGCCCTCCTTCTAAGCTCTCCCTCCCCCACCCCCCGTCCCACCCCTCTAGGTCGTCACCAAGCGCTGTGTGAGCTCCTCGTGTTAAACACCAGCTTCCTACTAGCTGTCTGTTTTACACATGTAGTGTATATATGTCAATGCTACTCGGCCAATTCATCTGCCTTCACCTTCTGCCAGTGTATCCACATGTCTGTTCTCTGAGACAGTTCTTACAATGGGTATAACACTGGGCTTGCGTTTCAATGTACTTCCCAGTGACAAGTTGGAAGCCAAAGACCAGAAAGGTAAGGAATCAATGGACTTCCAGATCTAGGAGACTCTGACCTTTTTTCTTTCATTTGATCACAGCTTATTATATCAGGGAAACAAGCAAGGGTCAAAATTGCCCTAAGGAGTGGAGTTACCAAACTAAGCTGTACAAAGATAATCATGTAGGATGGCTTTGAGGACCTCTCAGCAAGGTCACTGGGCAAGTTCCTGGTAGAGGAGTAGAAATTGCAGAAATTGCCTGGTAGAGGAGAAAGGCATGGGGCCTCAATGGCCCAACTCCAGGAACCTCACCATTGCCAGAGTAACCTGACTATTTCAGGCATTGTCTGGGAGCAGCCTGA